TTCTCTTCTACCGCCCTCTGCTCACAGGTGCTGCTGTTCCTGGCTCAGGGTCAAGGATAGGATCACACACCCTTTTCCTGGCGGGAACTGCCAGGCAGGAGCAGAGGACATGAATGCATCGACTCCGGCCTGTCCTAAAAAACCGGATGAGGTTGGAACCAGGCAGCTGAGAGAGGCGGAAGGGGATGAAGAGGTGCCAAGGGTCCTGGGATCAGCAAGCGCTGGCACAGCCACGCACCTGACGCTTCACAACCACTAGAGCAATACCTCAAGCGAGCACCCCTCCCAGAGCCCACCCTTCCCGGACCTGACCATCTGGATCACCTTGATCTTCTCGCCTTCGATTTCTACGGTCTTCTCCCTGAAGTCGACGCCGATGGTGGCCTCAGTTTTGTCTGGGAAGGTCCCGCCGCAGAAGCGGAAGGTCAAACAGGTCTTGCCCACGTTGGAGTCCCCAATCACGATGATTTTGAAGATGCGAATCTGCACGTACTGGTCCAGTGACGAGTCGAGCTCCAGGGATGCCAGGCCAGCCGCCGAGGCGGGTTGCAGGCTCCCATGGCCCAGGATGGGCTGCGCCATCTCCCCGGGACAGGACGGGATGAGACCGGGACCCCAACCCCCCTCGAGGGTTCCACACAAAGAAAACGGCCACGTTAGTGCGCTCGAAGCGAGCGAGCTTTGTGCATGTGTGTGTGTGCGCGCGTGTCCGCGAGTGTGTCCGCGCGTGTGTGCGTGCACCGGCACTGTGAGCGCGCGCGCGCTCGTGCAGGGGGGTGCCTCTCACCCCAAGTCTCCCTCCTCCTCCTTCAGCTCGCCCTCCCCGCAGCTCCGAGGTACCAACACAAAAGCCAGGCAGAGGAGAGACGGAAATAGAGAAGGCAAGCCGTGAGCCTTTCTCCTCTGCCTGTGCCCTCAGACAGGACACTCAGTCAGGCATGTGACACCATGGCGCGCCCCCAGCCACTGCTGCGCCTTGGCCTAGACCCTCCCCTGCCTGGACCTCAGGGACACACTGCAGGGAAGAAGCCTACGGGAGAGAGGGGCAGGTGGAGAGAGTGGCAAACACCACCCCGGGATGGTATTCCTTTCTCCTTGTCCCCATTTATTTCATAGGTCTCAGGCTCCCCACCCCCACTTTTGCGGAGTACTGGAGGGTCAGCGGGCCGGAGCACAGCTGGGGAGGACAAAGCGCTGCACCCTAAGGCATTTCTGGAGCACTTCGGCCTAGGTGTACATTATTCGGCGAGAGTGGACTGTGGGGTGCAGACACCTCTTTCACCTCCAGAGCAGCGGGCAGCTGAGCTGCGCCTCCGTGGTCCCCTCCCAAGCCTTGCAATAGAGGGACGCTCTGCCTTACTGAGGAAGCAGGTGCGCTCGGGAGCCCCACTGGCGAGCCCGAAGAAGAGGAGCCAGGGAGGGCGCTGCCAAGATACTCCCTGGGTTGTGGGGGCCACGCAGCGGAGAGGAGGGAGCCGGGGGCCACTGGTGTGCGTGTAGGGGGAGTTACAGTTTCTGTCATAGACTTGCCATATGTGGGGGGGGGGCGCGTGCCAGGCGCCAACCTCCCCTCATCACACCATGAGCACCCATCCTCTGAATGTTCAGGAGAGCGGCTCCCATTGGCTGCTGCAGTCGGTTGTGTTTGGCTGGCCAATGGGGAAGGCCCGCCGTGGGAGAGGGCCATACAGAGGGTAGGGGAAGGGGGGAAGCTAGTGGTGGCAGCTCCAGCAAAACGGGACTTTGTTTCCAGGGCTAACCATTCCAGGCCCAGGTAGAAGTATCTTGGGACAAGGCATAAACCTCGCATTCCCGAGCCCTCCATATAATCTTAAGTCCCAGAATGGTGGAGTTTCAAAAGGAATTGGAAACCCCTAGGAGGGTTCACCCCTCTACAACTGAATGTAGAAAAAAGTGGTTGGGTCTAATTTGCCAGAAGCCTAGATTATGCTTGGAAGATGAAAAATGAACAGCACTTTCTTAGGTATTAGGGGGCATCTTCTCAAATCTTAATAAGCATCACACATCTTGGTCAAGACCAGTATTCCTTCTCTTGAAAGTGATTTGCAGGTTCAGAATTTGTTTCAAATAACTTTACTAAGGTACAATTTACATACAATAAAGTGCACTCCTTTTGCATTTGCTTTTAAGATTTTACCTATCCTCCCATATATTTCTTAGGAGTAACATTGACATATGCCAATAGCACCGACATATGGGTTATTTGCTAATATCATCAAGGTCAGGGATTCCGGCAGCACACTTGATCTGCCATCTTATTTGTGTGTGAGGCTGAGCTGCAGAAGAGGCAAACGTGACTAAACCCAACCCCACTATGAGAAAAAACAACTCGGTGCATCAGTGATATATCTGTAAGCAAGTTGGAGTGCAGCTGCTCAGCCAAGCCCGAGTTACACAAAGTGGGAAAACGGAGTCTTCTGGTTAATAAGCTTTTTAGTTGAGTTAGCAGGTATATTTGTAGCTAACTCTTTTAGCATATATGTGGGTCACCCATTTCTAAAACCCTAGATTATGCTATTCAATATTAAAACCATCTTGAGAAGGATTTAATCTTAGTTGGCTAAACCAAGGCCATTATTATGAATATCAATTCCCATTGTATAGTGTGAATAGCACTCATCTTTTCTTTCTTTTTTTTTTTTTTGGATTGCCTGATGTCTAGGTCATACTTTTCAGCATCACCCCTCTCTGTATTTGAAGCTAAATCTAGTGATCATTATCTACAGAAGAGTAGCCACTAATAAGGGTGGAGATGCCCTGGTTTGGTGGGTCAGTTGGTTGGAGTGTCATTCTGTACACAAAAAGGCTGTGGGTTCCATCTCCGGTGAGGGCACATATGCAAGTCAACTGGTAAATGTTTCTCTCTCACATCAATATTTCTCTCTCCCTTCCTCTCTCTCTAAAATCAATAAACATATCTTTGGGTGAGGATTTTTTAAAAGGGAAGGTAACTATTAATTGGGCATATCCAATAGGTAGAGTGGAAAGAAGCTTTGCCAAATCATAGCCAGAAATAATGCTAAATATCTGACAGATATAAAAGAGTATATCCACATAATAAGATTATTTAGATATATGCTTCCATTTAAAACTTGTCACTGAGTCTGAGAGTTCACATTATATTTGTAAGGTAAAAACATTAATTTCTGGAAATGTGGTGTCTCAAAATGTGCTCCATGCCCTAATAAAGAGTGTTTGTTACCTTTGTGGAGCGAGATTTTGGGGGAACTTCCACTTATATTTCTGGAGTTGTTTTGATGTGTGTATATTGCTTTTGCAAAAAAAAAAAGAAAAGAAAAGAAAGACCCACAATGAAATATAATTTTAAATTAAAAGACATGAAAACTACCTCATTGCACAAATCCAGAGTGCTGCACAATGCCTTTTCTTTGCTAATTGTTCATCATTAAATGACTGCCTTTCAAATATACTTGGTTGTTTTCATAGGTACCTTATCATCACGATTCTGACAGTATTTCCAAAAGCTTGTTTTGCCAACAGCTATGATTAACTTTTTAATAAATTCATGTTTATTATTGGCTTTCAAAATAGCAATAAATAGCAATATCTGTAAGGTTTTTGAAATATTAAATAAATATAAATAATTTTTACCTTATTGTAGAATTGATATTTTCAATATTTATCCCCCTAGGTAAAACGTTGCCCATCGCCTGCACTTCTGAACCTTATTCTTTTATAAAAAATAATTAATTAATTTATTTATTTTAGAGAAAGGGGAAAGAAGGGAGAGGGGGAAACATCAATGTGAGAAAGAAACACCAATTGGTTGCCTTTCATACCTGCCCCACCTGAGGACTGAATCCACGACCCAGGCATGTGTCGTAACTGAGAATCAAATCGGTGACCTTTTGCTTTGCAGAATGATGTCCAACCAACTGAGCCACACTGGTCAGGGCTCTGGACATTACTCTTTTTTAAAAAAAATTTAAATATTTTATATATTTTATTGTTTACGCTATTACAGTTGTCCCAATTTTTCCCCCTTTGCCTCCCTCCACCCAGCCCACCCCTTACTCCCTCAGGCAATCCCCACACCATTGTTCATGTCCATGGGTCATTCATATACTTCTTTGACTAATCCCTTCACCTTCTTTCAACCAGCTCCCACCTTCCCTTTCCCCTCTTACAGCTGTCAGTCTGTTCCATGTTTCTATGTCTCTGGTTCTATTTTGCTGTTGGTTTATTTTGTTTATTAGATTCCACTTATAGGTGAGATCATATGGTATTTGTCTTTCACCAACTGGCTTATTTCACTTAGCATAATAGTCTCCAGTTCCATCCATGCTGTCGCAAAAGGTAAGAATTCCTTCATTTTTACTGCTGTGTAGTATTCTATTGTGTAAATATACCAGTTTTTTTTATCCACTCATCTACTGATGGGCACTTACGCTTTTTCCAAACTTGGCTATTGTAAATAGCACTGCTATGAACATAGGGGTGCAAGTATTCTCTCGAATCGGTAATTTGGGATTCTTAGGGTATATTACCAGCAGTGGGATCACTGGGTCAAAAGGCAGTTCCATTTTTAGTTTTTTGAGGAAATTCCATACTCTTTTCCACAGTGGCTGCACCAGTCTGCATTCCCACCAATAGTGCATGAGGGTTCCCTTTTCTTCACAACCTCGCCAGCACTTGTTTGTTGATTTATTAATGATAGCCATTTTGGCAGATGTGAGCTGATATCTCATTGTGGTTTTAATTTGCATCTCTCTGATGGCTAGTGATGAACATTATTCTTAATTAGTAAGGGAACTCTGGATCATTTTCACCTCAGTAAAGACTGCCTCCTGAGTTAAACTTCCTAAATCAGTGCCTTTGTAATTTCACCTACTATCCCTATTCCACTAAAAAACAATAATAATAATATCATCATCTATAAGATTAGGGGGCAAACTCTTTGGCTAGTTCAAATCTGTCTGCACCTTGTTGTTTTTTTTAATTTGTTTTTTGTTTTTATTGAGGGGAACACAGTCCCCCACTACCACAAATTATGCAGTCGAGTTTCCCACACTTGGGGAAATCGCAGGGGTCAGCACATCCAGAATACAATGGATAAGCCTCGCCCTGTGGCCCCACCTTATTAACCTGTCCTTATTTACTTCCTAGCACTCTCTGCCATTGTCTCCTGAAAATGTGCTGGGTTTTGTTTCTTATATATCTTCAGGCCTTTCCATTTAAACAGCATGGTGTTTTCCCTAAGATATTTTATAAGTATCAGTTTCTTTAATCTTTATATCAACCTTGTGAGATTGGTAGATGAGGAAAGTGAGGCACAGATAAGTGACTTGCCCAAGTGGCAGAGCCAGCCTGGGATAGACTGAATCCAAAGTCAATGGTATATAACCACTGAAAATATTACCTTTGGTCCAAATGTATTCACCATCTGAAATATCATTCCTCCTCTTCCATTATTTGAATTTTACTACTCATCCTTCAAGACAGACTCAAGTACATACACAAGGACTTCTTTCATGAAGTCCTTCCTTAGCTATTCCATCCCATACTTTTTTCTTGCTCTGGCACTACATCATATATCATTTTTTAAAAAGTGACCAATATACGAGGTTTGTCCATAAAAAGCCCAGCTATTGTTAATATAACAAGAATGGTTTGTGCACCATTGACATAACTTGGCAGCCCACGAGAGTGGACTGGGATGAGCATGTGTGAACAATGATGACTTCATTGTACCAGTCAGCGAGGGTGGTATACGCTGTTGAGTGAGCATGTGTACTGTGTGGCCGTCACCTTCAAAATGACTGAGCAAGTAGAGCAACAAATCTGCTTCAAATTTTGTGTTAAGCTTGAACATTCCTCACCGGAATATATTTGGATGATTCAGAAGGCCAAAGCTATGGGCAACTGGTGGTTGGCAGCTTCATCCCAACAGTGAGCCTGCTCATGCATCACATCTCATGCAAAGTTTTTTGGTGAAACATCAAATCACCCAGGTGACTCAGCCCCCCTACAGCTCAGATTTGGGGCCCTGGGGCTTCTGGCTTTTCCAAAAACTAAAGTCACCTTTGACAGGGAAGAGGTTTCAGACCATCGATGAGATTCAGGAAAATGTGACCAGGTAGTTGATGGCAGTTGGGAGAACTGTGTGAGGTTCCAAAGTGCCTGTTTTGAAGGGTACTGAGATGTCATTGTCCTGTTTGTTGTACCTTGTATCTCCTTCAATAAAAGTCTCTATTTTTTTATTACATGGCTGGATACCTTCTGGGCATATCTCCTATCTTGTCTCCCCAGCCAGATAGTGACCACATCCTATGCTTTTCATAACCCCCAGACCCCCTTCATAGGATAGGCCAAGTGTCAGGTGCTCAATAAATACTTGTTAAATTAATATGTAACCGAAAACTTTGAGAAAAGGCATGTTTTGCATACAGCCAAAATTGACATAACTTGGCAGCCCAAATTGATTTCCAATTTGGCTTACATTGGTAGAGTCAAAAGACCTATTTATACTCAGCCCCACACTCGCCCCCTCCCACAACTCTGAAAGTCCTGTTTAGGATTTATCTCACGGAAAGTCTGGGGAGCACAAACGGCTTTTGCCACATCCTGCTCTCAAGAACGAAAGATTAAGAGCAGGATGCTATCCGCAGCCCCTGATGCAGCATCTAGGAATCAGAATTACACAATATAAAAGCGATATGGCAAAAGAGAGCACGGAATGAATAGTTGCCCCGGAAACAGAGGATGGGTGGCAAAATGCCAACAATTTGTAAAAGACGAAAATCCAATCAGAAACTGGGCAGCCTGGAGCCCCTGCTCGAGCCTGTGTTAAAACTAGAAGTGGAGTCAAGCCAGAGAATCCGGAAGGCTGAGTAGTTCATAGCCCAAACCAAAAGAACAAAATTCAGTGCTGGGGCCATGCTTTGTGAAGTGTTGTTAATCAGTTTCCTCCATCAACACAGGGGCAGCACCGGCCGCAACAGCCAAGCAAAGCGGCCACACGGGTCCCACCTTGGAAACCTTTCTGCACTCACTCAGCTAAACACACTGCTACCAATCCGCGGAAATTTACAGGCAAGTCCGGCGGGCACTTGGTAAGCTTGTGGGCATCTAGGTGCATGCGCAAATCTTCCCCTCTTGCGGGCCAATCACAATGCGACGCTGAGCACTACGCCTGCGCAGTAGGGCGCGGGTTGCGCTTCCACTTCCTCTGCCCCGGCAGGCCTGCTGCACCGTCCAATGCCCACCCGGAGCTGGGAGGAGGAGTCTTCGTGGAGTGCGTGTGAAGGGAGCGGGGGGAGTGGGCTGGGGCCCACGGTGTTTGACCCATCTGTTGGTGCGTGAGAAGAAAGGAAGGAGGAGGTCCAGAGTAGCGGATGCCAAAATGTTCCGGTGTAGAAGCCTGGCAGCAGGTGCTTTGAAGCAGAACCTGGCGCCCTTGGTGCGGACAGTGTGCGTCCGAGGCCCGAGACAGAGGAACCGGCTTCCAGGTGACTGTCCCATCCCGGACAACCCCCACATCGGTAGACCAAGGGCCTGGGCTGCTTAGGCTCCCAAAGCGTTGCAGCTTTCCCCGCCCCCCCCGCCCCCCGGGAAAAACTTAACACAGTCTCAGTCGCGTGAATTCCGAGTTGCCGGGATCCAAACCATGAGTTTTGCAAGCCATACCGACCTGACCTTCAAGGGAATTGAACCCAATAGTTGGCTTTAGGCCTTTTCTTGAGAGGGTTTGCTGTTCAGGGATAACAGAACAACTGGATGGCTAGTATTGTCCAATGCCACCTCTCAGTCACCCGTCCTCCACCTTTTTAGAACAATGAGGTCAAGTAGACTTTGTCATTTACTGATTGTCAGACTTGAAACAGGACATTTAAGCCCCGTGCCTTAGTTGCTTCTGTAAACGAGTGTATTACCGGCTTTACCTTCCAAATCCCAGAGGAGATCCATAGATTTGAGTGCCCTGTGAAACAGAAACAGTGCATTGCAAGTAAGGAGTCAGTGCGTTGTGCGCCAGACACCTGGCGAGTTGACCCAGAATTAATTTTAGGCGTCTGGTGAGCGTAATTCTTGGTGGACTTTAATGCCTCAAAGGAGTTTGCAGAACGCATTGTATTTGCCCTCCATGACGCTGTTTCATCAAATTTTAGAGCTGTAAGGGATTTTGTGGTAAAGTCTAACCCGTTCTTTTTATAGATAATAAACCGAGGTGAAAATTTCTTGCCCAAGGTCATAATTAATAGCTAGAGCAAAGGACAGTTTGCCTGACTCTAGGCCCTTAATTTCCTTGCCTCAACTCCATACTGCATCCTAAAGTTTGCCCTCAAGGTTAATAATGAATCCAGTTCCCCGTTAGCCCATTGTGCATTGGCTATCTCGGAATTTATCTGAGTATGTCTTGTGCCTGCTCATTTTCAACTAGCACAATTTCATGCGGGTAAGGAATTATCCACCTGTAGGAGATGCGGGTTTATTTATCTTTAAATCAGTAATCTTTGAATGGCCATCCGAGGACACTAACGTTTTCAACGTCAGAAGTTATCCTTGAGACTTTTCCAACGTGGAACCACCTTCTGAGTGATTTAAAAATAAAAAGTGGAAAATATTTCCCTTACATTGTTTTCTTTGGGAATGTGCATTTGAAAAGTTTTTCCAGTTGCTGTGCCTCAAGAAAATGTTTCCTGATGGGTGTGTATCTGAGGTATGTCCTAAGACATATTGCTCTTGGGACTTAAAAATCTCTGCCTTGGCTTTTAAATTAATACCCCATCTATGATGGCATCTGTATGTATGGGTTTGTGCAATGGAATGAGTTTGCTATGTGCAAATTGCACATAAATTCATGTAAGCATGAAAGGAAAATTTGCATCCACATTGGCCTTCCAAACTTTGTGTACCTATTTTGCTTAAAAGTCAAACGTTTACCAGCATTGTGAAGTCTGACAAAAGTTCTCAGCAATTAAATATGGATTTCCAAACTAATATTGATTTTAGACATTTGAGGGTAGTTGGTAATATTAGAACTAATATGGAAAAATTACAGTCTCAAAATGTTTTTATCCCCTTGCATAACTTTGTATGAAGGTAGTATGCTGTGGAATATATTCCGATGTCTTGACATATCCATCCATCTCTTTGTATACTTATTCTTTGTCTTTTGGCCAAGCACCAGAGTAAAAGAAATGGGTGGGACTAAGGGTACAATTTGAGAAAGAAATGATTCTGTCATTTTACAAATTTACTGTGTTCTTCTGCTTGATTACAAATTGCTTTTAATCTGATTTCTTTTTCACAGTCACATCAACCCTACGTTTTCACATAGGTGGAGAAGAGGCATTGTTTCTTTATATACCATTTCCCTCCTCCTTTCTTTCCTTCTGTTCCCTCAGTTCTTTGCCAGGATCTTAGCAAGCTTTAAACCTACCTTAAAACAATCTCATCCACATCTGTCACCCGCCGAAAGGTTCATTTCCATTTTATGTTGCATTTTCCTTTAAAATCATAATTGCTACTATTTATTTATTTGGATGTTCTGCCTCTTTCCAGAAATGATTGAAAGTACTTAATAGTCACCACTTTATGTCTGCATTCAGCACTGCAGAGCATATAGGTTAAGTAATGGATATTTTCTGTTCTGTAGTACTTGGTCACTAAACATGCTGCCCATGTGATCAAACTGATCACTGACCCCTGACCTGAGGGTCAAATGTTTGAACATTTTTCTCTACTCGGAACCCTTCTTAACTCCTTAAAAAGGTAACTGGACTCTTTGTGGGCAAGGACCCAGGCTTCTGGACACTGCCAAGTGATGCTTTTCTTTTTCTTTTTTTTTTTGAGACCTAAAAGATGAGCTTTTTTCCTTCTTTCTGCTTAGGCAAAACTTTCCAGAAGAAAATCTTTGGTAAGTTAGTTTTTTTCTGCAACTAATATGTTATACTTTGTAACATTTTAAGGGAGTTGCTGCATATTATAACTGTCTTCTAGAGCATTCCAAAGTTGCCTGGTCAAATACATCAAGGGGAGGGTGGATCCCAAACCCACCAAATGAGAATCTCCAGGAGAGAGGCCTGGAAATTTATACTTTAACAAGCCCCTTGATGTAGTTCATATGCTCAGGCAAGTTTGGGAAATACTGTTTTGAATGAATAATGGATCTTTTTCTTCTCTTC